GAATCATTTTTGCGAAATATTTTTTTAGCTCAATGCAGATAATAAATCCGGCATGGTTTTGACAAATTTTTTATCTCTAACTGAATTATGTATTTAATAGAGATTTGCAAATTATCAAGCTTATTTTGAGTGCAAAATGGAAGTTGAAAAATATAAAAGTTACTTTGTTTAATTCGCTTTATTTGTAGACATTTTATTTCTTTGTATTTTCATTACAAAAATTCATAGATAGTTTAAATTATTGGTTTTAATTAAAGCTTTTTGAGAAAAATATCAATTCATACATCTTAAGCAACAGCCTACAATTTAAAGAGTGTGTGACAATTGGGTTAAATAGGGCTGGTAAAATGAATTTTCAAAACCGAATCAGAATCAAAATTAATATATAAATTTTCGACAAAACCCAATGGGCTAGAGTGTTGAGGACACATGCCTTTAAGTTATTCACGAGGCATACTTTCTACTTGAAATATGTTTTGATATATGCACACCTGATTCACGCCCATAATGGGACCCAAAAAAGAGTTTTGCATTTTGCGTTTTGAGGACATGTGTCCCTTGCATCGTGTCTATAATATGTGAACCAACTTTAGTGCTCGTACGTGCAGTTTTATCCTTGTGCCAGATTGATTTTCCTTGCTGACTTTCCCACAGCCCATCCTCTTCTGTTGTTGCTTTTGTTGTTGCGCATTGTGGTGGCAGATTCTTTTTTCATACGCCCCATGCTCTTATTGATTTTTTCCTTCTGCTCATTCGCTTTTTTCCCGCGTGGTAAAGCAAAAGGAAAATCGTTTTTTTTCTGTTCGATATTTTTTCCTTTTTTAATTGCATTATGCAGTGAAATCACAGGGCGACAAAAGAGGCGGAGGCCAGAGTTAATTTCATTTGCGAGTGTGGACAGGATGCAGGCGAAATCAGAGTATGGGGCTTGGATCTGGCCATTGGATCCCATTGTTCGGCCCGTCAAAAGTTCGAACTTTGCTTTTAACTGATTTGCCGGGGGGCGGGGTAATGCGATTGAGTTTTCCCAAACATTTCCGTTCATTGCATTGTTTGTAATTGGTTCAAGGATTTTGTACATCTATTAGGGAAACTTTAGAAAATTGCAGGCAAGTAAAAGCTATTTAGAAGTAAACCACAGACAAATGTTTTAAAAATCTGTTGGACTAAATGAAAAATCCTTTTGTACATATTAGTACTACAAATTTTATTGTTGGCAACTTTTAAAGTAGCCGATGTGTATATAAATAGATTACTCATATATGAATTGACAGGCTTCTGGTATATTTGTTCATTTTTGTCCAAATCTTTGAATTTGGGTTCTCGACTTGAAAATAATTATACTATTTTAACACTTATGAATGTAGACTTCAAAAAATGCACTGTCTTAACTCTTAAACGTTTTTTGCAGTTTTCTTTTGATTTGTTTTACCTTTTCTATTTCCTTTAATCTGGTTGGCCATAAATCTGCGTTGGGATCATTAATTTGGACCCGCTTAAGGGCTTTTACCCGGGGACTTCATTTCTGTGCCACAATCCGTTGCACGTGTCCCACTTTCCCCCGCCTTTGATTCCCTTTATCACCTTCCCTTATCAGTGCACAGACAGACAAAGGCGAACCAGAGGGAAATAGACAGAGGGAAAATGCCAACTATTAAGTTTATCCAACTTAGCAGAAGTCGGCAATATTTTCACTCCGCACTTCGAGGGAATTCCCGGGTTTTGGGAGAGAGCAGGATGGCCAGAGAAACGGGAACGGGAACATAAAAATGCTAATCATTTGCTCATTAAATCCGCATCATCCGCTGCCGACGTCGCTGCTAGTGTTAATGACAGGACACCAGCCGCAGAAAAGAGCCGGGAAAACTCCGGTAAAAGTGGGAGATAGAAAGAGATGTGCTTTGAGGCCCGGGCACACTGCACAGCTGTTCTGGGGGCCTCAAAAGTTCAACGAGAATTTGGCACAAGGCAAATAATAAAAAACAAAAACAACCAAGAGCAGCAGCCGAAGAAAAGGGAGCGAAAACAAGAAGAGAAATAAAGTGCGAGCGGAGGCGAGAAGTTGAGTGAAGGGCAAGTGAGGGGCATTACAGTAGGACACACAAGTTGATATAAGAAATTACTTTGGTCCATCATATACAGTAGAACTCATAGGTAATATTTTTTTAAACAACTTAAAGTTAAACGATTAATAAATTTTTAGAAAATAACGATATTAGGGCATTAAAAATGTAAGTAAGAAAATAATTTCGCCAGCAAAAATAAGCCTGGTTATGACACGGAAGATTTCAATTGAATTTTGAGATTACCATAGCCTAATTGTGTAACAAACTGTCCATACCTTTATTGATTATTAATTACATTTGATTGCACTTTGTTTCGAGAGATACCACAATAATACGTTGATCTCTGCAGCTTAGGGAGTTGTAAAAACATACTTTTTTCCCTGGGTTGCGATGTGTCAGCTTTACTGTACTGTTTTTGGGAATCCACCCATATCACCCGCCATCCCCTTTCGCAGACATCTTAACGGCCTGTGAAATATTAGGCCTGGCCCAGGAACTGGAATAACGGGGCTGGAGGAGCCGAGGTCCTCCATCGGGGAAACAAAACAGGCCACAGGGATACATAAAGCAGGAAGTGGGTCGAAAAGGGGGAAAATTGGGCTGGGGGGATGCCAAATCATCTGTTTTAAATCGATTTTCCTGGTTTTTGTTGTCCTTTTTCCGTTTTCTCTTTTTTGTGTATGCTTCTTTTGTATTCTTTACACTCAAAAAAAAACGTATTGTTTTGATAAAGTTAAAATATGGAAATAGGAAATTATATAGGAAATACACTAAAAGTTGAATGCATTTAAATTGAGTTTGTCTTTTAAGGGTACAAAAGGAAAAAAAAAAAACAAATGAGACAAAATTGAAGAAATATTTTTTGGCAGTGTTGTAGTATATTTGACTTATCCACCAACTGTAAATATATGTTAAGCCCTTGGGACATGCGAAAGAAGGAAAAACTTCGGCAGTCATTGCCTCTAATTCAGGTCTTAAATTTTCTTTTTTGCAAAATGTAATCTAGAAAAAATACTACTACGCCCACACTGAACTCCCCTTTTTACTATCTAGCTGTACGTATCTGCAGCTCCCCCTCGAAACTTAATTGACCCCAAAAATAGCAACGTAAATTGCTTTAAATTTGTTTAACTTCAACGGCAGCCAACCAATCTGAGATCTACGCCTACGGGTCTGAAGAGAGAGGGCGATAGAGATTACTGCAGAGAGGGAGCTGAAGAAATCGAACGAGGCATTTTTGCTCATTAAATAAATCAAAAATTGCTTTGCCGCTCAGTGGTTGTCCATAAAAGTCGAATTTCTCGACTCAAAGCGTTTCAAATGAATCGGATACTCGTAATTTATGCAAATTGGGCGAAATGTTGGCCGAAATCTTGAGCAAAAATGTCACTTTTTTTTGGGCCAAGAAAAAAAAGATTTTTTTGAAAAAAGAAAAGCTTTAAATTGTTTTAATGGATAAGACCAAAAACACAAAGTTTTGAAATTAAGTAAGATCACGCTCTATGCAGTATATTCGATTAAGGCAACAAAATAGAATATGTTTACATTTTAAAATTATTCTAAAAGAGAAATCTTGCGAACTTAAAAATTCAAATCAACGAGCCACTTGCTGGTGGTATAAATCTTTGTATGTAATTTTCCTAACATTTAAAATAAAGTTGTTCAAGTAGGAATAAGGAATGGACTAGCTTTTTCAAGAGTTTTGTGTAGTCCCCGAAAAAATAACAATTTGTTTACCATTTTGTTTTAGGTTAAGGATTTACTTAAATCCCAAATATGGCGCATTTATTCCCTTGGATAAGCTACGAACTGTAGGCGCAGCTCATATGATATCAGATTGTTTTAACAATTAAGCCGCATCCACATTAAGCAACTATAACAAAAAGCAGCCGCTGACCCAGCTCTGGGATCTCAGATTGTTCTGTGCTCGCAGATCTACGTGATATGTGTGTGCCCCTCTCATACCGCCTCTATATCACCGAAAAATTTTTAAACAAACTGTGTTACGTGCCACAAGCGAACAACTATCAGATAAAACATGATCATAACAGCACATATAAAATTTTAACTATTTTCGTGGCGGGCCAGTTTGAAATTTTATTGTTACGCTTGTGTAACACCAAAAACTACAACAAAAAGCAATAAGCTCCAACAAGAACCAGTCACGTTATGAGTAAGTTTAACAAAAACAAATGAGATAACTGCAGGTTGTAGGGGAAAAGGGGTATAAACAACAGAGGAGCGTGCAATTTCCAAATCTCTTGCAAAGAAAACGAAGTTTATGAATGCCTTTTTATAACCAGAACCACTCGAGTGAAGGTCAATATTATGGTGGGCCTATAAAACGGTGCGATAATTAACAACAAATCGCACAAAAAACCCAGAAGTTGGCGTAAATTCATTGCAAATGAGTGTGCTTTTACGACCGATATCCCCAAACCGTATTATAAAACTGCAGTTAATTCAAAAATACTAACATAGGGCAACATTTTATGATGGCATTTTCATAACTTTTTTTTCCAATTCGAGATCTCGAAAAGTTTATCTAGCTTTATAGGCAACGAAATATAAGAAAACGCTTTAAATTTTTGCTCTATAATTTCCTAACCTAATGAAAACTAAATTAAGCCATGGTTTCTTTTGATTTTACAATTCTTTCCCCTCTTTTAGGGTAAGTCACTTCACTAAGTGGCCGTTTTCACAACCTACTGACCATGACCATGAGGGGGTCCCAATTAACGGTGATCAAGGCTAAGGGTTAACTGCTACACCGACTTTGGTACTACCAATTTGCGAGGGTGTCCATGGGTGAAGGTCAAATGGGGGACTATTAAAACGCGTTTACATTAACGCCACTTTATATGCCTCTCAGTTAAACTTTAATTTACTTTATTTTCCGGGCAATCGGCTTGTCGCCTTTTCACAGTTACTGACCTTTTTTCTCTGGTTGCAATTTTCCCCAAATTCGTTCAGTTTCGGAGCAATTTGTTTACTTTTACAGTTCATCAGCGTGTGCTGTTGTTATTTTTGGGAGTTTTTCGTCCAGTTTTCGTGCTCTTTTTTTGGGCTGGGTATTTTGGGGCCCCGAAAAAGGACGATTTCTATATTGGGCTCGCTCTCTCTCCGGCGAGCTCTCTCTTCCCTTTGCTCCTTGCGCGCGCGCTCTCGCCAATTGATTTTCACTTTTGGCGATTGTCAAAAAGACGGCAACAGAAAAATAATAATAAACGAACAACGCAGGAATTTTCACTTGTGCCACTTTTTGCGGCCGACGATTTTTTTTATTTTTTCACCTCTTTTATTTTGTTTGCTGGGAAACGGGTTTAAGAAATTCCTACTACGTTGTTTCCTCTCTTTTTCCTTACGTACGCCTTTTTCCTACTGACTTTTGCGTTTTTCTCCTTCTTCGAGATGCTCACACACACACACACACTGGGACACACTCCCACACACACGCACCGGCCAAACAACAAAAATTCTTTCGCTGTCTTTGATTTTTGTTTCTTTCCTTTTTGGCTTTGATTTCTGCTGCTGCAGAGGCGAACCGGTTTTTGTTTTTATTTGTATTTTTATTCGTGTTTTTGCACTTCACATCGAACGGTTTTTTGTTGTTTTATTAGCTGCAGTTGGCAGTTTTAGATTCTAATAATCACGGCGATTATTATTTGTGGCCGATTTTAGTTGAATTCCGTGCACCGTTATTTCGCACACACAAGACTGTCTGTCATCGTCTCGCTCGCACAATTCTTAAGCCTGAGCGGCGGAAAACGCGTATAAAACGGTTGTCTAATATAATCAGAAATTCAATATCAATATTTATTTTTTCCCGGCGACTTAACGGTTATCGATGTGTTGTACTGTTTCGAACATTTTCACTCGCGAAAACACATGCAGCTCATCCAACGGTCGAAAATACAATAACAAAAATTGTAGGGGAGCGGAGAAACATCGATAAAAACGTCAATGTCATCGATGTTTCCAAAATATCGATAGGACAACCGGTTTTCCAGCCGAAACATTAAACACAAAGTTTTCCGTACAGAAAAGTCAAAACACAATATATTATTTATAGAAATTTCAAATTTCTCGCTAGAGGAAGAGAAGCATCGACCACGTCGATGTTATAAAAATAAAAACACAATGTGGATGCTTTTCCATCTCTAACTTTTCGCTAACAGCGGTAAGTTTCTATTCCACAATCGTTAATTTTCCACCTCTAGCTCCCGAGTGCATATAAAGAGAGAATTCTGTTAACCGATTGATCCAAAAGGTTGGAGTATGTGCTAAGTTCTAATTAAAATTATTCCGCATATATTTTATAGAGAAACGTAATAAATAATAATATTGAAACAAAAATAATTTACTAAATAAAATATTTTAGAAAATAAGTGCATAGCAAATTAATTAAATGTTTGGATTAAAGAGGTTAACTTCCAATTTAAAACTAAATTGCTCAGCTATATTTCCACGTTTATGCTTACCTAGATAAGTAAGCAACTGAGTTCTTTAAAACTTTGTTTAAATCGCACTCTTATAAGAACAAAGTGCAGACTAAAACCTTGAAGTTTAGCATAGAGCTACAAAACAATCCACTGTTAACCGCAACCGTTAAACTCTCTCTCTCTCTCTTCTCTCTCTCTCTTACGCTCATCAAAACAGGTGCAACAGCGCCTTAACATTACCGCTTAACATGAGCGGTTTTTGCTGGTCACTTTCGTCATTAGTTGAAAAATCAAACGCCGCCTCCGCCCACCACCCACTCCCCCGAACACCTTGACTATTTCTTGCACAAGTTCTGGGTCACTTGGGCATTTTCCAAGCATTTCTTAAGGTTTTTTCCCAATTTACCTCCGGGTCGTTTTTCATTTTCCTGGCTTAAAGGGGAGAGGAGGGTCCACGAGCAGCTTATCCATCGCCTTTGTTGCTGTTGTCGTTTTTGAGAGCGACAGCTTTTTTTGCCGGTCCATTGTTCCCAATTTCCTCGTTTGTTGTTTTTTGTTGTTCAAGGGTTATTTTCCACAGGCGCCTTAAAATGTGGTTCTGTTTTTATTGCAAAAACCTGCAAGCCCAAGTGGACTTTCGCCCACTTTTATTGGCCTACAGCGATTTAAGTTTTGCTAATTGCCACTTAAAGATTAATTAAAATGTTGTATTTTTTAAAGTTAAAAACCTAAAACGAAGTTCCTGATATTAAAGATATTAAAGATATATTCAATATCACACGCCTTATGGTCCCATTGTCATCCCATTTTTACTAAAAGATATAAGCCTTTCCAGATATATTCTTTACTTATAATTTATATACATTAAAAAAACCTCAAGCTCATCACTCATTTCGCTTTTCCCCACTCTTCTCAATTGACTTGATTTATGCAAAACTATGTTCCTCTTCGTTTGGCGGGAAACGAAATTGTTCAGTCAATAAACGTGAGCCAAAAAATGATGACCCCGGAGGTCACATGGAGTACCCCTATTATGAGAAGGGGGTGGCACAGGCTTTGTATGGAAAATTTAGCAGCGTGGCCAGGAAAATGCAATTTCACTGATGCTGCCGATTTACGGCTTTTATAATGCCGTGCACTTGTGTCAGAGAAATTTTCTTTTGCACTTTGCAAATTTCACGCATAATTAGCTTAGTGATTGATTTGCATTCACGAAAACCAGCTTTTTGGAGTATGGCATTAATTTTCGATTGGAATATGAACTGGGGAAAAGAAAAGATTAAGAAACATTATTCAATTCATTGAATTTTCAATATAATAATTATTTTTCTAGCAATGTTTCATAGTAATTATCTCAACAAATTTTCTAAAGCTATTTGATATGGAAATGCCTCTTAGATTTAATAAGCTGGTTACCAACCACCCACTTTCCGTTTTGTATCTTTCCTGCGTGTTTGCCTCACAGTTTGAGAGCCACAGTTTACGATAGATGTTATATGTTAGATGTTGCTTCATGTTGGCGAGCGATTTATGAGCCAGCTATTCCGCTGCAACGTGTGCTGCTGGTGCAACATGTAATGTGCACGACACGCCCCCCGAAACCTCTCCGCCTCCGCCCACCGCTTTCATAACTTGCCCAGAGAGATGTTTAGATACCTACACTTGGAATAAAAACACAAAAAAAGTGCATTTAAGAAAAATATATATACATACATATATATATTTTAGCATATCACAATTTGACAAATTTTGTTATATATATATATGTATCATTATGATTTTAAGATTTTAAACTTGGCTTAGAAATGTTTTGTAAATAGGTTTTATACCAAATACCAGTATAGAATGTTTTTATAACTATGTAATTATTATTCTACCGAATTAACATTTTTCTCTGTGTGTCCACAATGGGTGGCAAATCTGTGGAAACAATGCAAAAGCGGCAGCCGACGAATTTACAATAAATAACAATCAACTGCGAGGGTGGATGAAAGGGGAAAAAGCTGAAGAGTTGGAGATGCAGGCGCTAAATAAAGTCCAGCTGCAGAGGATCGCACTCGATCAAACAAATGCTTTGAGCCCGCCATAAAGCAGGAAACTCAAATGCAAAAGAAGCCAAATAGCAGAGATACTATTACTATATGACATTTAATCTCAACACTTAAGTAAGATCTAAGGTTGATGTAAATGAGAAATTAGATTTTAGATGCGCTAAACAAAGTCTTTCTTTACTAATTTTGTTCTTTAAAAAACACCCCAAAAAAAGCAAAACCTTTATTTTGGTTACTGCCTGTGAAAAGTGCAGGTCTTACAACTGACAACTTTGCATACTGGTTGCTGCTGTATTCGCAAAGCTTATGATCTGTGAATAATTACGTTAGCCTCTTAGCAATGGTAAAATAATCAAAAAAGCTCACCTTTTTTTGTGAAGGATTGCGGATCATTTTCTGCGGCTCAGCAAAGCAGAAAAATGGAGGGGGAAAAAAAAGGCTGGCAAGTGAAAGTCCAACGTTCGGCCGCTTCGTTCACATCTCACTAACCTCGTGATTTATATATTTGGCCCAAACCGGCTGTCCGTTTTAAGGCCCCTCCCCTCCCATCAGCCCCCGATTGACTGACAGTTGGACAGGCGGCTGGAAAAGGGGCGTGGCATGCGTTGGCTGCATAATGAAAACGTTTGCAGACAGCCCAAAACGGCAGCTGAAAACAAATTTGCATACTTAGGCGAAGAGGAAAGTGAAAATTGCATCAAATATTTTTTAGGCCAAATGAGCGAAAGTAAATCGCAAAAAGGAGGAGCAAAAAGTGGCAGAAGAAAATCGCCAAACAGGAAATGCATTTCAAAGCGCTTGGCCATTTACAATGTTGAACGAACTGATATTTTATATGCAAATTAATTTTTTCTTTGAGGCAATTATGTAACTGGATACTGAAAGTTATAGTTGGAGAGGTAAACTAAAATATTTGAAATATTTTACAAGCCAGCTGAAAACCATAATCAAATAAAGAGTAAGTATTTCGTAATTGAAATTATTTGGCTTGGATTATAGACTATGTAAGCTACGCTTGAGTTAAGAAGCGGCAATAAAAACTAAATGTTTGGCAAACTATTTATGCATAAACCAAAGATTACTTATGCATTTATTATGAATTAAATGCGCATCTTAACCTGCACTCAATTTAAGTTAACTGGATGATTAGTTAACTAGTAATTGCTTTAGGAGTCTTCCAGGACTGTCAAACTGTAATAAGCTAATGAGATATTTATGCAAAATATTTCGTAGACAAAAAGCAACAGCCAGGAAAGGAATTAAGTAATAAATTTATGTTAAAAACCAACTGAAAGCTGTAAACTGTGCCTGCTAGCCAGGAAACAAGCTTTTCCCCAACCTTTTTCCGCCCGTCCACATTTTTTTTTTTGCTATTTCAGCACTTACACGAATTACGCGACCTGAGAAAATTGTAATTCATAATATTCCATTCTGGGAAGCTGGCTAACAAATCCCCAGGGACCGGCATCCTGGCTCTTGCTGTGGGATCTGTTTTGTTGTTGCTAAAAATAGCACTTGCCTCAAGGTTGCTGGGTCAAGGGGGTGGTTGCAGGTGAAGGAGGTGGTGCAGAAGGTTTCCCTCTGCCCACGTTGTTGTTCCCTTAACGTGTCAAACTTTTGGCCAACGCAGCTCCCCCAAGACAGTTAAGAGATGGAATAAGGAATTCGGAATGAGGGTGGTGACAGGTGAGCGGTGTGGCAAAAAAGGGACATTAATGCAAAGCCAGCTTGGTCACAGATTCCCAGAACTCGAAAAATATGGTTGTATCCAAAGGGCAAAAACAAAACAAAAGTCAAACATCAATTCAAAATGAGCAAACAAGTTTTAAATACCTATTTGTAATTTATTTGTCAAGAAAGTATTTAAAAGATTGGGACAAATTCTGCTGGATTTGTACTGGTACAAATTTACTTACCTATTTGTTAAGTTTTGCAAGCAAACTAATACATAAATTCCATTTTTTTGGTAACACAACGTCACATCACATGAACTATTCAAATCAAAAAACCCAAAACGACACTGAACTCGGTATGTAGGATTAATATCCCATCACATTCGGATTAGTGTCACCTGCGTTTTTGCATCACGTGAATGCAAGCTAGTTGAATCTTGTAATAAAATATAAGTATACCAACTAAAGCGGGCTTACTGAAAAAAAATGAAAAAAAACCTGAGATATATAAAAACAAAAGTTAAACAAATTACAAATAGCTTAAATTCGTTATTATAAAACAATAATCAGTGCTTTAAAGAGTATAAATATATAAGAAAAATAGCTATTTACCTTAAATTTAAACGGCTTTAAAAAAGTTACAAATTAAAGTTCAAATAAAAGCGAAGCAAAGCTCCTTTGTGTCCATTTTATTCCTACTGGTGCATTCAATTTTTGGAGTAATCAGATGGTTGGCTGAATGCTCCTGCTCCTGTTTTTTACCTGACGATTCTGCTTCTCCTGGCGAATGCTTGCCCTGGAAAAATATTGAAAGTGTCAGACAGCCATTGAATAAAAGAAGCAGAGATAGGGTGAGCGGAAAATGGGTGAAGAGTCCGCGAGATTGCAATGTAAGTGGCATTCGCAATTTTCCCTCCGCTTTTCGCCATGCACTTTCACATCATTTGCATGTTATTAAACGCCATTTGATGAAGGGCTGCGGAAAGGAGTGGGGTGCATTTGTAAAGCAAACTATTAGAATTTGTCCGATTCCTGCACTCACTCTCGTTTTCCTTTTCCCAGGAGTATTGAAAATGAAAAGTCAAGCTTTTTCCCCCATTTTCGGACAGCTTTTCGCTCGAATACACGCGCTTATTAGTATTTGTGCAAGGGATTTGTGTGACAATATGCGGTGCCTTTTACTAAGATGTTGATTTTAAACTTGTAAGGGAAAATGTGTTTTGTCTTGTAACGACTTTTTCACATAGTATATTTCCATGTTTTATTACATGATGATTTACAAAAACTATAGTTTTATGGTTATAGGTTATTAATAAAATATAAAAAGTTATTTTAAAACACAGGACATGAGCGACCTTATTGATTTCTTTCCAACGAATCTTTCTCGAGCTGAAACTGAACAAAAAAGATTTAATCAAGCGATTTCCGCTTTTTAAAGTGGAAAGAACCATTTTAAATCGTGGTCGACAAGATGTTTTTGGTATGTCCATAAATTAAAGGAGGTCAACCTGGTTAAGATAAGCCTTCAAAAGTGCAACAAGCTTGCCAAAAAAAATTAAGCAATAATAATAATAAGCAATAAACAAACGCACATGGTGGCTGGTGGCTGGTGGCTGGTGGCTGTCCCAGTGGGTTTCTGGTCCGACAAATTGCCACAAATTAAGACCAGCTCGGAAAAAAATAGAAACAAAATGTTCCCGGCAGGTGGTAAGCGAAGCGAAAATACAACTGCAACTGAAATTTCATTGCAAATGCAACTAGCAGCCAGCTAAAGACACTTTTAAATCAAATTCGATTTGGGTCTTGGCATCTGGCGATTTACAGAGTCTGGGAATCGCCCAGCTCTCCAAGTTATTTCCCCAATTGCGTAACTCGATGGAAAATGATCAAGGAAATATTCAGGATTTTCTACCTAACAAAAAATGTCTTCCAAAATGAGACTAAATATTTCAATAATTCAGCTTCCTGTGTCTTCAGTCTCACTTGGTGTTAGTCTGATGAAATAAAACAGTCTTAGTTTAAACATGAAGTACTTTAATAGTATTAATAATTATTTAGTGTAAAAAGTAAACAATTTAGAAACGTATTCATTATATTGATTTATTTCAAGTGAAAAAAGATATTCGAAAATTATATTGTTTTAAATTGTTATTAATTTGTATAACCGTTGCTACTATTGTATTGATGCTCTAGGCGCTTTTCGACAGTTTCCATGGTATGCAATTCCGATATCTGCAAGTGGGGGAAGAACGTTTTACAACTTGTAGAGGTGGAAAGATTTGTAGAAGTTATTAACTCACTTAAACCACACTGAGATGCGCAGATCAATTTGTTCTCATTGGAATAGCTTTGGTTGTTAGTGCCACAAACCGGATTGTTTTCGGAGGTCGTAGGACAGGAGGCAATGCACATCCTCAACTGCTGCCGTTGAATAAGTTCCCCAGGTGGGTTTGAATTTGCGGGAAAACTGTGAACTATGCCAATCAAAAGAAGGGCGATTGCCAAAATTCCGATGCGATCCATTTCAAACGAGTCCGATGCTTTCAACACACTTGCAAGTTAAGTCACTTTTGATCTGATGCTTCCAAAAATCACCCGCTTAAATACAAGCCAGCCCGCGATTATCGCGATTCATCCCCAAAGACTTTTAAACTCTTATCTCTCCCGCCTGTTCATACGAATTTAAGAATTTTTGAGCAGTCACTTGGATTTTTGCGTTGATGATTAATGGTTTTAAAACAGAATGTGAACCGGATGCAGTTACTCTGTTAGTTTTTATTTTTATGGGATTTTGAAATAAGGGTTTTCCTCGCAACCTAATGTACAAGCCACATATTTTTATTAGGATAAATGAGCAGCAATTGTATATGTTTCATTGATATAGTACATACATATCTACACGTTTTACTAAACTTGTTTAGTCTATATTCTATAACATACATAAAATAAGTTGTATGATTAATTTATTTTATTAAAAGCCAAAAACTATATTTCTTTTGAATCCACCTGAATCCAAATTGTTTTCTTGGCGCATGTTTATTTTTAAATTGATAAGCTGGAGACGATTTGGGGCGCTCGACGAAAGCAGTTCTACAAGAACCCGAAATTGTAGTTTAAATGTAAATGTAAAGTAAATTGTTTTTATACACACTGCTTTCTGAAAAGATGTCAAAATAAGCACTGCTTACTACAAAAAAGTGCAACCCACTGCTTACTGAGAAGTGTCACTAATTTTCGATAATTTCACTGCTTCCTGGGAAAATTCTTAAAATGTACACTGCTTACTGACAAATATCGTGCGGATGTTTTCCCTTTTTTGTTATCGGTTCAGAACTCTGACGAAATAAGCCTCGACTCGAACCATATCGCTGTTTGTGTTTATAACTCACAGCGTTGCCAGACGCTCACACAAAAATAAACCCGTTATTAACCGTTTCAAGTTAACAAATTTTAAATTCAAAGATCAGGCAAACGTTTAAACTCAATGACTATCTGTTACTAAATCACTCAGGTAAAATATGTTTGTCTTAATAAAATTTTTACTCAAAGCACAATGTAGGCAAAAAGCAATCAAGTAAACTTTTTTAATTAAAAATGGTTTTCTCAATTACTTATAAATTTTAAAACAGGAAAACGGCACTCTGATTTTTTCTTTTAACATTTTTATTTCAAACAGCATACGCGGTAGTTGTTCACATTAAGAGTAGAGTTTAAATATGTTTTCTTTAAATATACACGCACTTTTATGTCATACGTATTTTGATATATGTGTTCCGAGTGTATATGCATTAAATAATTCAATAATTTACATTAATCAAACCACGCCCAGCGGTCGCACCGCCAATTTCTGGTCGAATGCCCTGCGGGCAGCGATCTGTTTTACATTTGTTTTAGCTGCATATTAACATTTACAATTAAATACATTCAATAAACAGTAGTAGTGACATCATATACACCTCCATATACTATATATGCAGCATATATGTGCATGCGTAGATAAAAGCATTGCCAAGCAGTTGATCAAGGTAGCCCAAGGATCTTGGGTTTGTTAGTTGCATGCGTAATACTTGAGAAAGGGATTGAGTGGCTGAGTTGGGGGTGTTTTGTGTGGATGGTGGGTGCGATATAAAAGCATTGTTGAAATACGAGGCATACTCCTAATATATTTAGACTAACTTATGCGCTAGAAAGAGGACCTACTTGCTTTATACAGATTGATTTAGTCGAATACATAGTCATAAGTGTAGTTAGGGGAGGAAAGAATATATGTAGAGACAGAACCTAAAAAGAATCGAAGGCGTCTTGTCTTTGTTTAGGTTCTCAACAAATTTGTCGATTCAATTAGAAATCGAATCACTGTAAATATCACAATTTAGTTAACACATATACAATTATAATTGTAATAACTAAAATAAATGTACGTAAGCTTGTCGTCATTAACAATAGAAGCCACCAGTAACTACAGCAGCTGCATGTACACGCTGCAGCCTTGTGTCGCGTACGGATGGGGATGGGATGGAGATGGAGATGGGGATGGAAGGTGCAACGACCTAGCCCTGCAAGGCGGTGACCTCCTCCTCCAGCTCGGCGTCCACCTCGTCGATCTTGGAGCCACTGCAGCCGCGGCACTTGCAGCAGATGATGCAGGGAGCGGCCAGGAGCAGCAGCGGCGAGGCCACCAGCAGCAGGATCCCAAAGCCGGCGAAGATTCCGATCACCTGGGCGCGATGCCACACGACTGAGGCTCTGGAGTGACCCAGTTTGTTTTTGCACGGTCCCTTGTCGTAGTGGCGCAGCAGGAAGTCGTCCTGGGGGAGATCCAATTAAATTAAATTAAATTAAATAGCCAAAACCTGTTGCATTCGCAACACTCACATCCAAACTGGCCAGGCAGTACCAGCAAAAGACGTGCTTGCAGCGCTTGCACATCATCTGGGCGCAGCCCTCGTCCTTTTCGATGGGCACCGCGCACATGGGGCAGCACTTGATCAGCTCGTTGTCGAACGGTATGCCAATGTCGTCCTGGCCATCAGCAATCAGGCGGCGGCCAAACTCCTCGCAGCTTATGTTCGGGTGGTACTGTTGAATGAGTGAAACAAAAACATTTAAACAACAAATGTATGGCATTTTGTTAAAAATAAAAGTAAATATTCAATCAATGGAAATGAATAAAAGTAACATGGTTTTACATAACTTTGGAGTGTATGTATATGCAATGAAATATTATTCATGTTTTTTTTACTAGTTGTTATAGTTTAATGTTGATTTGCCATTTAATTGTCAATAATGATAACATTTATGACAAGCCACACAACCTACCGCCTTTTTGCAGAGGCCGCAAAATTCGTCCTTGCAGGAGGGACAGTGCACGGATACCGAGAGCACGGGTGCTCCGTTTCCGGCCTCGCCACCTGTGTTTCCTCCACCTCCACTTCCACTTCCGCTTCCGGCCGCCTCCTGCTGCGGGCTGTAGCTCTGCGATGTCGACGGCGACTCGTCCATTTGGCAAATGGCGCTGTTTTGGCCAGGCTGCACTGCCCCGCCCACCATGCAGATGGTCTCGCAGCCAGCCCGTGGACACCAGGTGCGCGTCTTGTCCAATTCGATTTCTGTAGCACAGTACGAAAGAAATTAGCAAATGAAAGAATCATTCAATGAAAAACCCACCTCGATTCAGGCGATAGCGATGGTGCTTCTTCAGCAGATTCGTTGTGGTTAGGTTCGCGATCTCGGGCAGGGAAATGGCGCCCTGGGCCGGACACTTGGCGTCCGGACAGGAGATCTCGTAGGCGCCCTCGGATATCTCAAACTCCACGTAGGCCCGCATGCACTGCAAGCAGAGAGAATAGGTCGGGGCGATGAATTAGCTAAACAATTTGCACGTCCTAAGCGTAATCCAGCTTAAACTAGGTATATATATATATAATATATATATATATACATGCTTTATAGTAGGGCAAAAGTTTGTCAGGGCATTTAGCAAGTTTAGCTGGCATAGTTTTGGCCAGGGAAAACCGCATGGCCCACCGCAAAGCTGCGGCTGTTGGAATTATTTCATTTTCACTCGCACACAAAAGTTGCCGCCTGTGCGGAAGCTTTTATAAATAAAGATTTAAAAGTTTTCGCTTTCCTTCCTGGCACATTAAAGTAATGGAATTGCAAACGGAACCGAAGGAAACTCTCAAATGCTTCGACACCAACCATATTTTCCGCATTTCCCCCGCTGCCAAATGAATTAAGGGCGACAGAAGCCAGGCAAACGGCATTTGGCAAAAAGTTTTCTATGTCCCTAGCACAAAAAGTGTCTCCTGCGGCCACTCTCCTACTCGTGGCCAACTTTCTGTTTAGCCGTAAATAATTAAAAGTGAATTTCTCCCTTTTTTGAACAGCTTCAGGAAGTATTTGGGCTGCTAGCAACTTTCTGTTTGCTGACTGCAATAATGAAACTAGATATTTTGCGAAAATGAAAGTTTTTATTAGAGCAACGGAATAAACCACTTTGCGAAACTTGTGCCCATACCCTTTAAATTATTATACATTTTTACTTGTGGGCTCAATGTCAAGATATTCATGCATGTTTAGTTGAATTATAAATTAGAAAATATCGCACCTAACTAAAAGAAAAAAAAACTTAAGTTAAAATATAGTTATTATTCATTTAGCGAAGAAAATATTTTGTTTTACAATTGTAAAATTTCATTTACATACGTTTCATTTACTGAGAATTTAATTTCAGTTTAATTAGCGAGTTTTTTCGTATTAAGGTACAAATGGAAATGAAATGGAAATAAGCACATTCATAAAACATTAAAATTAATAATTAATGTATAACATTTTAAAAGTTATAAATCGGACATGAATACCTCATAAAAAATGTTCCATCAAAAATAAAATATTATACATCTGCAAATAAAAGACCAAATGATTTTATATTAAAGGAGATTTCTACAACATATCACACATTTTCTTAGTGTGCGCACATCGCCCACCCAGCTTCACTTAATCCCGGCGTTGAAGGCTTCACCTGGCCATCAGTCAGTCAGGCCACAGGAGCCACAGCCGCCGGATTTGCAATGCACGGCAAGGGCTTTATAGCCGGGCGGGCGCTGGAAATACAGTCAGCCGGGGGTTATGGCCGAAAGAGCCGGGAGCGGAGTGATAGCACCTGTCCAGATGGCTGTGTGCCAGCTGGTGCCACAATTTAGTGGCCTGCAACCTGGATTGTGGTGCAGCTGGTGAGCTGCTGGCTGGCATTTGCTGGCGTGCGATGCCCTTTCCTTTGTGGGTCCCACTGTATCCTTTTCGATTTATCAGGGCTACAAATACGGGCGGGGATTATGGATTTGGCACACAAATTTATTGATAATACATCGTGTGGCGAAAGGGTTTAATTAAATTCTCGAAAATCAATAGCAGAAGAATTTCATTTGAAATGGCTTTACAGTCCTGGTGTGACAGATGTGTGTGTATTGTTGGGCGAATAAATGTCGAGTATAACCACATAAAACATTTATGAGGCCAGCAGCACATGCACAATTGAAAAGACAAATTTTGCACATTGAGGCAGCCCCATGGCAACCTTTGTGTGCGTCAGCAATTGTGTAGGCCATTTAAAAAGCCAACTGCCGCAAACAAGCTTACAAAAACACACAGAGACTCGCAGGCTTGTGTATAAATTAGTATTAATAATGTCAGTTGGCGAATGTTTAAGGGCATAAAATATGTGCAGGGCAAAGACGCAGAAAATGTACATTTAATATGCGAATTTATTTTATTTTATCAGCTGCAGCTCTCAGAAAAAGACAGATGACTCGCTCGTTATAAACATTTCCATAGTTATTGCTGTATAATTCTGATATATGGCTGCTGTATATATTTTCCTCAATCTTCTCATTCTTTCCCTTTGCCATTCTTAGCAAAATAAAATGTTGTAATAAAACGTCTGATTTTTGTTTATTTTTCTCTGAGGATTTCCGCTTTTGAATGCAAAAGTTTCGTCAATTTAAATTATTTACGCTAGAAAGCAGCTCAATCAAAGAGAAGACTTTTTTCTGCAAAAATATTACAAGAAAACAAGACGGAAAAATTTATTTTTAACAGTGATGTTCTTACGTTCATATAAATAAAATGGTCTTTCAGAAAACTTTGTTTATTATTTGATGACATTATACTGCAAGCAAATAATAAATATCAAAGTTAAGATTAATGAATATTAGTTAATTAAGTTTTAAATTAAAAACACATTACATATAACTTGTTAGTTAGAGGTTAGTTTTTCTATGTCGCTTAGGCTTTAAATTGACCAACAAAAGGAAGAACCTTACCAGCAAGTTGCAATCAAGTTTATCGTAGCATACTTTTCTGCGCCTTAACTGGTAATCGCAATAAATTGGGAGCGAGCAATCCGGCCACATTACGCGACATCGTGCATAAAGAGCTTAATGAATGCCTCAGACCCGAAACCCACATCCTGAACCACACACACAAACACACACCCACACACAGACAAGCAAACGTGGTCTGGTGTAATCCTGGCCAGCAGATATTGCCAATTACACGCACGCCCGCCCGGAATGAAAGCGAGGCACTGGCGCCGGGAAACACGCGCATCTGCCCGCTTTAATCTAACTCATTAGCGGCGACACTTTAATTAATACGCCAGTTCGTCCTTGTCCGCGTCCGCATGCTGCGTTCTGAGATGACAGGATCGCTGACCGGCAAATGAATTGCTACGACAACGTGCGCAAGACGCGTCATAAATGCAAATTTATGGCCAATGATTACATTAATGTCCTGCTGCCTTGGCCCACAGGACTACACCATAAACTTTTAATGCCGCATTCTGATTTAATTAGTCTGATTTACACGGCCATCGGCAACAGCAGCAGGGGACGTGTTGAATGTCAATTGGTAATTGTTTCACAGAAAAAAAAATATGGCATTAAATTAGTGCTTAATTACTGATTAATCGATGTTAATATAAATGATTATAAATTTATGAAACAGTTATTCAGAGCCCTTATAATATTACAAAAATGTTTATGATATATGAATACAATTAATAACATCAAGAAAGAGTATCTCATGGTTTAATAAAAACCAATCCCGAAATGCCTAGAAACTTATATTTTAGATTTAAATTTATTTATTTATTCGCCAGCCATTTTATGTTATTTACTGGCTACTGTTATATAAACTTAAGACTATATATGACTGTTTATAAAATATTTGGAGAAGAAATTGCGAATTGTCTCAAGCGTCTTGGAAAACCGGCAGATGTGTGGTCTGATCTATTTATAGTTGCCAGCCAAGTTGCCAAGTTGGCATTAAGTCAATCCCATCACAAAGGAGCAGGACAACATTGTCAGCGTCCAGGATATTATACGCGGAAGTAACCCAATCCGCTTAGCAATTGTGGCCGATATTGTTGCTGTTGTGACTTGTTTGCAACATAATATTGCGACTGTTTGTGTGAGCGAAAGGGGAGGAAGCGGAAGTTTATAGTATATGCGGTTTGTTTTTAGAATTCAGCTAGCGTTGGTGGGGATAAACATTGAAAGTTTAATGATGGTGCCATCAATTGAAATGCAAGAGCAACAAGCGACTGGGACAGCAAAACATAGAAAAGCAGTAGATGGGTATAGCGATAGAAACGGGACACTATTGACACCTCACCAATAAAAATTGAAACGACTGAAAATTTAAAGTGAAATTTATTAAATTGTAAAATTAAAAAATGTCTACTCTTTATCAATTGTGTTAAATTTAAGACTGAAAAGATAGGACTCAATTTAGATGAAAAAGAAAATTTAATTTAAGAATGCATACTTTTATTATTCCAATGCCAATTTGTTTTAATAAACATGATTTCTTCCTGTAAAGTTGCAATGAAAAATCAGATATTTGATACCCTACAACAACCCAGCGGAACGAAAGGAGTAACTGCCATTGTTAAACCTCCCCAACGATTCCCATAAGTAATGGTAGCCTTTGTCGCCTCGATGGCTCTCTGGCTCCCTGGCTCCCTGACCCCGAACTGTCCCTGTGGGTGGGCAACGTCCTGGCCAAATCGAATGAAACCCATTTGTGTGGGGAATCGTCATAAAAGGCGGCAAGCAGCTCATAGCTGAGATCCACCCTAGCCACCTGCTCATCCTTGACATCCTCTCACTTCTCTGTTTGTGTGTGTAAAATTGAATTTAAATTGCATGTCCAAAGTTCCACTTCCGTTTCCGCTTCGTTCTGCACTGGAGCATTGAATTTCAATTGATTGGAAATGCTTGGTCCATGACAGAAAACCAGCTCTAATGCCAGTCCCTGATAATGCCAGCAACTATTTTGATAACACAAAAAGAAAAAAAAAAAAACGACGAAGCGAGAGTTTATATTTAAGCCAAGCGTCTCACTTAAGCGGATTTTGCTAAGTCCTATTCCATTTCCCTTTTGCGTTATTTCAGTGGCTAAAAAAATTATTTAAATTATGCTTAGCACTTGAAAGGCAGGCATTGGAATTTGGGCCAGTTTACGTTTCATTTCGTTTGAATGACATTTTTTGGAATTACTGCGGAACTCGACACAATGTCCAAACACCTGGAGCGTTGGCAATAACGTTTTTCATTTCCGGTCTAGACACAAAATACAAACTCTGCTGGCTTATTTAAATGCTGTTTGTGAAAGCCCTGTTGGCCAGTTAACAAAATGAAATGATGACTTTTAATAGACTGATTTTCCAGCAGCAGGAAATATTATCCGTGGCTGTCAGGCAAATCAAAAATCATGAGTTTTTGTTTTTTTTTGAGCGCTTTTCACAGGCCACATTACTTTATTGGA